TTTCAGTCCAATTGTCACAGTTTTGGAGGGAGTTTTGTTTTGAGACTGGGTTTTGTTATATTATCCTGTCAGGCCTAGTACTTAGCTATGTAGCATAGACTGGCCTCACTCTGTGGCAATGCCCTGGCTTCAGTCTCCTGTCTTGGATTAAAGATGTATGCCATGATGTCCATCTGAGCATCACATTGAAATCCTAATAACATATTTGAATAATTGTATCAGCTTTATTTTATTTTTTTTGGGTTATGTAAGGCCCACAATGCAAGAAATTATGTGATATTTATCTTTCTGAGGCTGCTATCTCATTGAGTGTGAGCATCTCTGGCAAAGTCATTTTCCTGAAGATAGTATCAATTCATTCTTCTTGATGGCTGAAAAATTACAGTCACACTCTCTTTATCCTTTCTTCTGATTTGGGAAATCTAGGATGGTTCTATGACTTAGCTGTTGTGAACAGTACTGCAATGAACATTAATATGCAGATACTTCTGTGTCCCAAAGGAGTGCCATAGTCAGGCCGTATGACAGGTCTAGTTTCAGTTTTTTGTTTTTTGAGGAATATATACACTGAATTCCATAGTGGCTAGGTAGGTGAGTTTATATTCCCCTCAGCACTCTAGAAGAATTCCTTTGGGTCCATATACTAGCCATCATTAGGCTTTATTTATTTATTTATTTATTTATTTATTTATTTATTTATTGGTGACTAGCATTCTGACTAGGGCATGATGGCATCTCAACATAGTTCCTTTGCGTGGATAGAGTTTAAAGTTTCCTTGATGGATTCTGCCAAGTCAGTTAGGTCTCTACTAGACACCCCTGAAATCACACTGGGGTGTGTGCAAGCCCCCAAGGTCTGCTGCATAGACTTATTTGTCTTTTTCTTTTCCAGCTATGTAACCTTCCCCTCCCATCCCAGTTTCCTAAACTTTGGGTGTGTTTCTTGAGAACTTATGAGATTTTATGGCTCAAAACACTTTCACCAGACACACGGCTCATAGTGGTTGCTTATGAGGAGGCAGAATAGTTGTGAGAGCTCTTGACAAACTGTGTATTGGGAGTTCTGCTGTTTGGATGGTGAGATCTTGTGACATAGACTTAGACTCACATTCATCATTGGGAGGAGAACGTTGACTCCAAGACTTGAAAAAGTCCAGTTTCTCTGACAAGGCCTTACTGTCAGCTTCTCAAAGACTGCTATGTTTGAGTTTATCAAGACCTTGTGAGCTAGTCGGTGGTTCTCAATCTCACATTGCAGCTTATCCAGAATTCACTTTAAGAGAGCCAGTGTTTCTTTAAAACTGTTCTACTCATCTTCTAGTCTACCTAAACATGAGCTTGAAAGCTCTGCCACAACCACACACCATAGCAGGATGACACACATAACACACAGTCTGTTCCCATGATCCCAGAGGTTGGAAGTGTGACATCCAGGGTCAGCAGGTCTGGTTTTTCTGTGTCTTTGCTTTTGGACTGTAGTGAGCATCTTTCCCAGCCTTTATATGGCATGTATTTGGCATCCATTGAGTCCTGACCTCTTGTTAGATAAGGGCCCACAAGAATCACCTTGTTTTGACCCAATTCTAGGAACATTGTGCTTTTAATCAAGTTACATTCTGGGATGCAGGAATTCTGTCTTCTATATGTTAATTTTGGGGACTCTTTTTTCTTGCTAAAAACAAGTTGAACTCAGTCTCCCTCTTCTATTAGTTCACCCACATTAGCCCATGGGCTGGTGAATACACCCTGTTCACAGATCAGGAAGGGTCAGAAGGTTTGAAAGTTCAAGACTAGGACACTACCCTCAGGTCAGAACCTGTACTTGAGGAAGAGCTGGAGAGCTCTTGCCAGTTTCCTGACACCAGGGAGGTGGCAGGAGGTAGAAAAAAGGGCATAAAGCACCAGAATGGATGTTTTTATAAAAAAGAAGAGAACGTGCCAACATTTGTGAAGATGAAGAGTGTGGACTGATTCTGTATCATTTGCTCTTTTTTTTAGCTGAAACCAGAACTTGAATTGACTGTGGGACTGTGGGACTCTCATTACTGTCTGGGGCCTGGTAGCTGTGTAAATAGTGGGCTGAGTTCCATGACATTCTGTTGCACAAAGAGTAAGTGTTGAGGTTGAAAGTCCAGGAAACACAAGTAGAAATAATCAACCCTTTATGAAAGTTGTTTGCTTTCTCTCTCCCTCTCCCAACTCTGCTCTAAGACAGGGTTTTATTATGTAGTCTTGGAGGGCCTGGAAGTCTTTATGTAGACCAGGCTGGTCTGAAACCCACAAGGATCTGCCTGCTTCTACCTCCCAAGTGCTAGGATCAGAGATGTGCACCATTATGTCATACTCACCCCCCACCAGCTAACACAATGCTGGCAACAATTGTGTGGACTTAGAGATCAAACCTTCCACACAGGTGGAAGGAGAGTATCTATGTACGGTCATGTAAGATCATGCCAGCCAGCCAGGGTGTTTAGAGTCCAGGTTATTGGAGTAGTCTTAATCTTGGAGTTTGCTGAGAAGGGCAAGAGGTCCTTGCCTGCCTGGTGAACTCCTAGCTGTGGTGCTCAATAAATATATTGGACAGATGGGCCATCATCCCAGGCATCTGAAAGCCTGGAGAATCCGAACCTCTGATTGCCATTGCCCTGGTCCTAGTTGGAGTCCCTTGTTAAGCCAGGGTATGGACTGACACCTTGCCACTGTCCTCATTGCTTCGATACATTTGTGTTCTGCCTTCATCTCTCCTTCTTTCTTGGATACCGTGGACAATGCTCTTGATCCCCAAAGACAAAGCTCAGCTCTTTTCTCCCCTAGGGTTTCCATGCTTTTGTAGAAGTTTCAGCCAAGGCTCTGCTGATCTCTGTGTCTGACAAATGTCTCTTCCCACACCTTCCCACCCCAGCTGCCCCTGTCAAAATATCTTCTCCTATACTCCACACCCTAGCCTTGGGGAGTCTGGGCAGCCATACTATCCTTTTTCTGTAGCCCCAGCATTTTTCAACACTCAACATAATGGGTTCCTAGGTGGGTTCTCCCTGATTTCCATGCCTTCCACACAGTCCTGGATTTTGAGAAAATATAATCAAGATCTGGACAGCTGCGAAAGCGCAGATGAATTGTGAATTTATCTTGTTTATCTCTCCATTGCAAATGAATAGTCTGGTATAGAGCTAGCAAGAGTTTCGCATAAAGGCAGGAAGAATGACAAAGAATATGTTATAGAGGAACATACCCAGTTTCTATCCAGCAGAGAAGCACATGAGTCCTGGGGGATGGTTCTGGGCAGGAAGAATGCAGTCTGTGAGAGGGAATGTTGGGAATTTTCACTGAAGAAAAGTGGGGCATGATGTGGGGTCAACATCCTATACAGTGCAACTTTCAATTGCCTAGAGTCTTTTCTGCAGCTCAGTGGAGGTCCAAAACTATCCTCCCCCTCTCCACCAACCAGAGGTCAGGAAGAGTTGGTCTTACGGTATTATTTCTTTCTCTAGAATATCAGGAAGTTAAGTGCACTTTGCTTCATGTCAAAATACTATCTGCAGTGACTTAATTGCCAGGCAATAATAGTCCTCTGGGCTATAAGTCTCAGTTACAGTAAGAGCAGAGAAGGTGTTCCTTTCTTCCTCTCTCTGGTGAGATCACTGGCCTTCCTCTTCATCTCAAGGCAGACCTTTCAGAAGAATAGGACTACTTCTTGGTGAGCATTTCCAGTGTGGGCTGTGACACTTGGTGATGGTGACCAGCTGTTAGGGAGAAGATGACTTTGGAAGGGGTAAATCCTTAGCTAAGGGGCTGATTGCTCTTGAGCACTGTGGCCCAGAACTTTCTAGCACATAGAGAGCCTCCACCTGCTCTCCAGAGCAGTGGTTTCTTGATTCAGCCATTTCAACCTTGGAAGGAGAACAGTGCCCTCCAGGCCTATGCAAGAAGAATCCCTCTTGGATGAACTTCCTTCCCTGGGAAGGAAGACCCCCTCCCTACCCCCATGACTTGATAAAGGATGTGGTATTGTTTCCAGTTTTGTATCCTTCCAAATGACCGCATCTAGCATAAAGCCAATGTTTGATAAAGTTTGGCTTTCAGAAAGAATGGGTGAATGAATACATGGGCAAACAACAGTCTTGTGTGGGGTTGCTGGATTACAGGTCTAAGTCCCTTAATTCAGCACCATTGTCATCACTTGCATCTCTTTCAGTGTTCACAGAAGTCACCATGGCCTGGTCCTCCAGCCTGAAGAGTCTCCTCACAGTCTTTGTCTTTACCATCTTAGCTGTCCATGTGAGCTTTGTGGGTAAGAGTAAACAAGGCATTCCTTTCTCCTAAAGATGGGAAGGGGGAGGTAAGCAGCCAAGAACCTTGGGGAGTTAACCAACCACAGGAGACTCCAGTGGCCTGTCTAGCCCCTCATGGCTTGACTGCTAGGAAGCATCAACTACAAGGCTCTGGGGTTACCTTTTAAATGATGTACATTTCCTTCTTGCAGAGAGTATCCAGTGTATAGTACAACAATGTAACAGTACATCATGTTCTGGGACTACAGATGATTGTGCAACCTCTATAGGCTGCTTCAACCAAATACAGCAATTTGATACACCATGTAAGCCAACCCTCACACCTTGAAAGTCCTCCATTTATCCTTGCTTCCTTTCCAGGATGAGAGTGGGAGCCTGGGGTTCTGGGAGGTGGTGTAGATGGTGTTGTAGGACCTGGATTCTACATGATGAGGACCATGCATATGTGACTCCATTCTTACTTTTCCAGTGTTGGGAATCAAGCTCTGGGCATCACACATGCCAAGAAAGTACTCTACCACCAGTCACTCCCTTTGTAGCAAATGGTCCCTCTGTTGGTTCATTCTCTGAAACAGACCATTGCAGAGGGACTCTTGGAGAAGTACAGTACTCAAGGCAGAGGGGATGGAGGGACAGGTTCTTTACCATGAACTCAGGAGGAAAATTTACTTAGTGCTTCAACTTTCTTCAGTTCCAGCTACAAACCAAATGGTTAAGCAAAAATACTGCCTTGGAGAAACAGACACATGCGGTGACCTGTCATTCTCAGCAACTTTGGGGGATCAGCGGAGATTTAGATATGAAAGCCGTTGTTGCACAAGTGATCGATGTAACAAAGATGACATAACACGTGAGTACAGCTCATGTCTGTGTCCCAGCACCTGCTCAGGGTTCCTCTGCCTTTCCATAGGTCCATCTCTGCTGATGGGCTGCAGACAGACATTTGCTTTCTCTTTTTACTTGAAGCTCTCATTTATAAGGGTTTATAGGTTGGATGCAAGCCCCTCTCTTGGGTATGTGTATACATAGTTGCACACACAGACTGAGTGATCTCTGGGCAGCAGTAATTGGTCCTGGGCATATTCTTTAAGGAGGTTCATTGAATCTGTGGGTTTCAATGCTTTGCTGGCTGCTCCTCCAGTCGAGACTCTTTCCTCACCTATTTTATTTCTTATTTTGGATTTTTGTATTGTTGAGATAGAGTCTTGTGTGTATCCAGGCTTGTTTTTATTACTGGAATCAAGTAATCCTCCTTCCCCAGTCTCTAAAAGCTGGGAGTACAGGTGTGTGTGACCAACTTTATAGGCAACACTGGGAGACCAACAGACATTTAGATATAACCAGTGACTATATCTATATAGCTATGATACTGATAAGTGCAATTATGAAGACATAAAATATGAGTCGGGCTTATCTCTGCACCCTTGATAGTGCATTGTAGCTCCTCTGGCTATCCGTGGACTCCTGCCTGCACTGAGGTGCATCAGAGCTGTGTGCTTGTCTTTCCTTTTGCCTGTGGCCCCTGTCCTTGGGAAGTGAAAGGGTAGATACAAGCCTCTGTCTGGGTGGGACAATGAGTGATAGCTGAGTGCCATGGGTTGGTACTTATTCTTTTCTCTGAGTCTATTGATTTAAATGTGTTCCCCTTACCCTTTAGCTGAGATATTTGTCTCATCTATTTAATTCTTTATCTTTGTTTTTGTTGTGGATATGGACCTCCCAGGCTTGTCTTGAATTCCTGGAGTCCAGTAATCATCCTGCCTCAGCCTCCCTGATACTGTCCCTAATTCTTCACCCTTTGGTCAGCATTTTTTTATATGGCAGATTATTTCCTTTCCCAATATCTAGGAACTTGTCTTCTGCTTTGGTAGAGAGGTGAGGGAGTAAAGAAAGGTGAAGACAGTTGAGTGGACAACTATTACCAAAGGATCTCAGATACCTGCATACTGTTCCCTCTTCCCATGACATTTTAGTTTTTTTTTTTTTTTTTTTTTTTTTTTTTTTTTTTTTTTTTTGTTCAATCATGAAAGAACTATACGGTATTAGATTGGGTGAGGCAGTGATATTCTCAGCTATTGTTTCCTGCCTATTCCTCAATATAAACACCTTTCCCTCTCCGTTCAGTATCTCAGGAGCCTGCAAAACCCAATGGTATTCAGTGTATTGCCTACTATTCGGAGCTAGATGCGCTTCATATCCCAACTTCCCTAACGTGCACAGGAGCGGAGACAAAGTGCATTACTGTTATTGGCACAGGTATGATTATTTACTCATGCATTGTGGTGTTTATATTGCTAAGGGTACAGTGTATCAGCCATTTATCACTACACAGAGAATTGTGCCACAACCTAACAGGTGCAAACAGGAGCTATTTATCACCACTCAGTATCTGAAAGTCTATACACTTTGTGGTGTGACTGTCTAAGGGTGTCTCATCAAACTGGGTTCTGTTGTTGGTGTAAGCTGTGGTCCTTCAGATGCCCATGGTTCTTCAGATGGAGGACCTGCTTCCTAGCTCATGCTTGGCTTTTGGTGGGTTTCACCTTCTCTTCCTGTGGCCTCTTCATAGACTGCCAGTGTTCTCCTAGCATATCCTCTTGCTTCTCTTGTGGAGAAGTGATGAGAGACAGACGTAGAGTAATTAGTGGAGCTGAGGTAGTTCGAGCCTTCATCTTAGAAGTGACATATCACTTCATACTCTCATAGATTAACCCAGATGTGACATAGGTAGATTCGATAAATTCAACACTTGGGCACCTCTGCCAGCAGATGGGCATGATGGGGGCAGATCATCTTAGAAGCTGTTTCCCTCATGGAGCAAGGGCCAGGTGTGTGGTTGTCCCTCTAAACCTCAGACAGAGCCATTTATCCCAAGAAAAAGTTGACAGAAGAAGAGTTGAGGTAAGGTCTGGGAACTGAAGGAAAGAGAGGAACAAATTCAACTGCTTCTCAAAAAAGAGTCAAGTTTGGGCACCTGTGTTGCTGTGATATTCTGGATTAGGACCTTGACTCAGAAGTGCAGGGAGTGGTGACACTTGAGTTCCAGAAGCCATCATCACTGCTGTTGTGATGACTCAGATCCCATCAATAAGCACTCAAGTTTTGCTTAAAGCTACTGACTTTAGTGAAATATTTGTAATTTCCCATGCAGGAGAAAATTATGTATTTATTGTGAGGGCCAATAATACATTTCAGGGATTAACTGCAAAAATAACTCTAGGACTTTTCTTCTTGACTGTATGCTGTGGGGATGAGCTAGCAACTCCTCATCAAAACATGAAAACTTGTGTGGAATTTAGGAGTGGGTTAAGTGGTGGATTGAGAGCTTGATGGGTCTGGAGGCAAGCTATGTTTTTGTTTTGACAGGTTCTGGGGTGAGTAAGGGAAAGGTCCTTTGTCTTCCTGAGTTGGGATGAATAAAGAAAATGGGGTGTCACAGAAACAGAGGAGGGCTGAAGCCCTCCACAGTGGGACAGGCTTATACCTCAGTTTACCCCAGGAAACAGACATCCAGCTTGTTCCATAATAGTTCTTATAGAGATCTCAGAAGAGATGTCAGTTATGAGGGGTCCACAGTATTTTCATAAAGGGAAACTGGGTAGAGAAGACAGGTACTTGAGAAGGGTTTTAGCTTACAATCGAGACCCTGCATCTTGCCTTCTTCCCTGCGTGCAACAAGCTCATCTCTCCTAGTGGGTGTGATTCACTCCAGTGTTAGACCAAGTGTTAGCCTTGTATTTGAGATGCAATAGTCCCTATAAGGTTTCTTCTATACCGGGGAGACAATGGGACTACAGGACACTAAGGATGGATGGATGGAATGCAGCTGGACTCATGCATCTCAGTGAAGAGGCAGAAGTCATGGACTCTGGACCATTTTGAGCACAGTTTCCTTTCCCAATGGATGTGGGTGAGGAGGGCAGAAGAGAGGAGAGAGGAAACTAATTCCTGGGTCTTTTTCTTAGTAAAGGGAAGCAGTAATCCCCTTTCCATCGTGATGGCTGGAATGGGCTGTGCGACAGAGAGTGCCTGCAACCTGAATATGACTATTCTCGACAGCATAGATGTCCACACCTTCTGCTTGAGTGGTCTCCCTGTATTTCCACCTGGCTCATCAGTTCCGGATAGTACACCTGGCTCATCAGTTC